GGGGGGGGGGGGGGGGGGGGGCGGCGGCAATCCAGAACCTTCTTCGGCAACCTATCATCTGGCATCCGTTCAGGCATCATCAGGGCACCTAATTCTATTAAATCTTTCCCCAGGTGCTGGTACTCCACGTCAAAGGTCGCCGGGAGCGGACCCAGCACTACGTCCTGCAGAGCCTGGGCAACGACGAGGCGGCGGCCAAGTTCCGCTACCGCCTCATCCACACCTCCCCGCGCGGGCTCTCGCTCACCTACGAGGGCACCCCGATCCCCAACAACCTCCTCGTCGACAGCGTCTGGTCCTCCAACAAGTGCCACCGCATCCCGTGGGAGCTCTACGAGAACTTCTTCGAGCCCGACACCCAGGACGAGACCCTCCAGATCCAGATCTTCAGGAACGAGACCCCGGCCAGGGACGCTGGCGCCGGCGAGGACTCCGCCCCCCGAAAAGCGTAGACACGCCCAAACCACCGAAACGCGAACACCTAGACTTCCGAATCGCTAACGCTTAAACTGCCGTGCTAAGGAAGAACGCCGTATGAACATTCGAGAGATGCCAAATTTCCCCGAATAAAACATGTATTTTTGAAGAAAATTATGTATATGTCTCTATGAAATTTTCAGACTTTTTAGATAAAATTACAAACAAAATCCTCTTTAAAATTTGAGAAAAAATATTCACTAATTTTCCTGAAAACTCGTGATTTGTCGAAGGAAATTTGGCAACGCCTGAAGGTTCATACGGCGTTCTTCCTTAGCAAGGCAGTAAACCACCTTTGCCACCTCCGCCACCTCTGCCGTGCTGAGGAAGAACGCCGGTATGAACATTCGAAAGTTGCCAAATTTCTCCAGATAAAACACGTATTTCCGAGGGAAGTAACGCACATTTTTCCTTGAGGTTTTCGGCTTTTTCAGATTAAAGTACCAAAAAAATTGTCTGAAAAATTTGAAGAAAAACGTTCACAATTTTACCAGTAGATTAGTTTTTTTGTTACAGGAAATGTGGCAACTTCGGACGGCTCTTACGGCGTTCTTCCTTAGCGCGACGGACCTGACCGGCAACCGACGACGACCGGCGATTTAGAGACTGCAGAAATGTTCAATCAGTTTGGTTTGGCAGTAAAAGTGACTTTTATGGAGAAAATACCGAGGAAAGTTCTTTAAATGAAAGTTGTTAATGGGAAATGCGCGCTCATTCACAACAGTTTAACTATTAGATCTACAGAATCCGTCACTTCGATCATGAATGAAAGATGAAATCATCAGGAATACGGAAATCCCCATTCGTAGTTGATAGCTATTTTACAGCCTTCCTTAAACATTGGAAAAGAGCCATTAAAATCCGATTAATTTTCCGGAAAACATTGCGCGGTACCGGGACGTATTCTCGGATAAGGCGTTTTCTCGTAACATTGTTATTAACATTGACCGAGCATGATTCATGCGGCCATCCTAACGCTTTTCAAGCATCTTGGGAAAAATTGTCGACCACATTTCGAGCAACTTCTGTAGGAAATATTTTATAGTTCACGATTAATCCCCCTATCAATTTGTGAGGATAAAAGTTTTGAATCGGAATCAAAATTATCGGCAAAAGGGAACAAAGGTATCAGCCCGTTGGTCGATTGGTTGAATTCCCCGGTGGAGATCGTGTAAATCAAGCTGATTTTAGTCCCTTTGAATGAATTATGTTATACACTCTAGGATAATTTTGGTTCCGTTATATGATTTAAATTAGCTCATTTTCCAACCATCAGAGGGGAACCATTTAATGAAACAGAACATGTCATACTTAAACTCAAATCCACTTCACATGTTTCCCATACTGCTTGCTGCACTAAGGAAGAACGGCGTATGAACCGTCGGACGTTGCCAAATTTTCTGGGAAATCCGAAAATATTTCGAATTTTTCTGTGGATTTTATTCTCGATCAAATCTAAATTGTCTGAAAATTTCAAGCAAAAATCCATATAACTCTCCTAAAAAAAGAACATTTTATCGGAGGAAATTTGGCAACTCTTTAATGTTGATACGGCGTTTTTCCTAAGCATGGCAGTATAAATCATGGACATTAAAATGTTGACACCAAGAGAATTCTTAACGAGAACGAATATGAGATTCTCCCGAACAATTTTGACTAGCTTCTGCTTCTCTATCGAGAAAGCTGGTCCCCATTTGCCAATTCGTCTCATCCGGGATTAAAACGACACAGGCCCTCCCACCCGAAAAAATCCCCTCCCCCTTTCAAAATTCAAGAAAAAAACGAACCAGCTCGTCCTTGGCGGTGGGTTTCCTGGCACCGTCGCTGTATCACGCACGCACACTCACTTGGCAATCGGACCACGCGGAGGGCGACGACGCTCGTCAAAACATCTACGCGGCGCACAGTGCATCGAGACGATTGGAGAGGTCGGACATAAATTTTTTTCACTAAAACTGCAAATTACGATGTTTAATACGTCATATTCTAAATTTTAAGGTGTGCAAATGGCAGACAATTTTACAAGGAAACCGATGGAACTACTTAAAAAACCTCAAAGTTTTGTAAAAATGGAGTTATGAGCTTTAAAAGTTCCGAAATTTTGTCCGACCTCTCCTATTGACTCGACCCACTGTGCGGCGGCGGACCCCATCATCCACTCACACACACAAACACGGAGGCGTCGTTATTTGCACACACGACAGTTGTGAAAATATACGGCGCACACGCAAGTGTTCCAATCCCGGTCTCGGTGGGGG